CAAAACACAAACTCACTAGCATCGAGTTGATTCAATAGACTGATTTCTAAGTAATTTTATTGTGAGGGGTGAGTTCTTATCTTTTTTCCTTCCCCTGACCAAAGGCCAGGCCGCACTTGTCAACATAAGATATGGTGTTGATTTAATTATCTGGATAAGTCAGCTCTTCTTACATGAACTTCTTGGTCAAAATGTCCTTTTCCTCCTAACTGGGGGCTGGGAGATCTCCTAATGATTGCCTACATCTGATGAGTCTGTAAAGTTCAAAATGCGACAGCTAAAATTAAACTTAATCCTAGTGTGGGAATCAGAAAAACCAGAACTTTGTCCTAAGTTTGTAAGAACTCCTGCACAGGCTCAGTGTGTAAGCTTAATGGGAGGAGGCAGATAGCAGAATGGGTCAGGGGCATATAGACTCTCGCTCTGCCGTTTACCACCTGTGTCATCTTGGGCAAAGGATTTAACACTTCTAGGCCTCTGATTCTTTCCTCATATATAAAATGTGATGCGATATTATAAGCACATAGTTAAGTGCTCAATGAATGGAAGTTCTTAATACTTTTGATTTGCAATCTTTAGAAATGGAGATAAAAGTAATTACAGCGACCGTATATGAGAGAATAGAACCAACCGCTCCATAGGGTTTCAAGGACTGTGAATTTCTACAGAAGCAGATTGCCACATCTTCCTCCTGCGGAGCCGCTGGTGGGTTTGAACTGCCAACCCTTCAGTTAGCAGCCGAGCACTTAACCACTGTGCCACCAAGGAACCTCAATTATTCTATATATGTACTATAATTATCATAAAGTGCTTTACATACCCACAGCGTTCTATAAACATTAGTTTCTGCAATAATAGATGTATTCTCATTCTTTTCTATGGCGCCTATGTTTAATATTAAAAAGCAGGTCATTCTATTCCATATAGCTTTTTTCATTGTAGAATTCAACTCCCTTTACCCTACCCTATCCCTGCAAATTTACCACCATCACCAAAGTTGAAAAATATGATAATAGGTTTTGCTAGTCTTGTTAGAATACTCCATAATATTTGGGATTTTTTTCCCTGATTGAGCTATAAAATTATAGGGAAATCTATATATCGCATAGATTGTTACAGAGTGTGTTCCTTCCTAGTCCCCACACGCTAATTGCTGAGATAACTAATGTGCAATTCCTTTATACAGTCACCTACGTGCAGCCTATTCTGATTTCAGTGGATTCTTATGTATGGCTGAATTCCCATTTAAAAGCTTCGTCCACATTTTGTAAAGAAACCACAAACTGAGATGTTTATTGTCATAAAAGCCTCATCTATGAAACATTTAAAATGATTTCCTATCCTTTTGTTCTTGGCGAGTCAGAGACTTAAAAGCTAATGAGATGCTTTATTTTTAGTTTTGCATTTCTTCATCATCTCCAAAGCATGGGAACCGGGGGCTTTGTACTCCTTTATACTTCTGGGTTACCTCCCCACCTTGGGATGATAAATTACTGAACTATAAGTGATTCACTCACAGCAAGGTGTAATATACCTGTCCGTGTGACAGAAGAATGGTGGAGACCTCTATGTGTCCATCTGTCTAGAACTCAACGAAAACTCCTGTCGAGAGCTGCATAATTTTCCAAAGTTCAACACAGAACCGCTTTGGCAGATAAGTTCATTACTCCTCCTCTTTATTGTGGTTCAAAGCAGTTGGGCGTAAAATGCCTTCTACTCATTACCCATATACGATCAGGTAACTCTTTAGCTCACAATGTAATTTCTAAGAGCTTGGCTGCTAACCAAAAGGTCGGCAGTTCAAA